AGCCAACTTCAACCAGGACTAGATCATGCTGTCTGCAAAGATGGCGGCCAGAGCATATCCAGATGACATAAAGTGCTGCAGTGGCTGAGGCGACGAAATGCAAGCACACTCCGTTTTTGCACGAAGCCAACTTCAACCAGGACTAGATCATGCTGTCTGCAAAGATGGCGGCCAGAGCATATCCAGATGACATAAAGTGCTGCAGTGGCTGAGGCGACGAAATGCAAGCATGCGCCATGAGCATATTGTCAGGCGTGTGCTTGTCCACCCCCGCCCCCCCGTGTCAAAACAAAACCCGAAACCCTACCCCTCCCATGCAAATATGAGCCATGAACATATTGTCAACCATGTGCTTATTACCCCTCCCCCCCCGAAACAAACCCCGAACCGCCCCGCGCTCGTAAGGAACAGAGTGAAAGTCCGGGTACCAGGTGTCTACGGCGCGTAAGAGTATTGTTAAACAACGCGTTCAAGGTTGCTTATACCAAATACGCTGTCTGTTTGAGCATGTTAAGGTTGCTTAAACACATATTGTCCAGCCATGCTTGAGGTTGTTTACCCAAATCTGATGTGTAACCATGGACACAATAACAGAGGTTATTTAAACGTGGCGTTTAAAGAGATGTGGTTCAAGCATGTTTCATGTTGCTTAAACACCTACCGTTTTACCATGTTTGTGCTATTTAAACATGTGTTTGTTGGTCAACCACGTTGGAGGTTGCTCAACCGCAAAACATGTTGTTTGAAGCGTGGTTTCAACCTGGGTTTAAGTCGCCCAATCCTGAGCAGGAGCTACTCGACTGCCTCAAGCTTCCCGACGCATCGGGTTGAGGCTCAGGTGAGATCTCCGTTCCGCACCGAACAAGTATTAGCGCTCTCAAAGTACCCTGACAAGGGCAATAGCCCTACTAGTTACTTTGAGGTAACAGCCTATGTTAAAGAGTAGCTTGGGGTCCAGGTATCTCTGAAACACATAGCCATTTCACTCCATCCGAGGCGTGCCGCCCAAAAGCTGGGGCACGCCTGCCGCTGCCAAGCAGCGGCTCCGGCGACGCCTGCAGCACCTCGATGGGATTTCCCGAAGTTTGTCCCACCTTTAAAGGGGCGCGTGTTTTTTTGACGGTACCTTTTGTGGGGTTGGTCTAAAAGGAGACCGCAGGGAAACTCACCATTGAGGAGTGCCCTAAACAATGACACCGATGCCCCAATGCCACCGATTCTTAGTGGGTTCAAGGATTATTTGCCTGGTCACCCAGACCTCCAGTCGCGTCTGCAGGGGGGGGGTCAAAACAAAGAGTTGCAATTTTCCCCATGGCCACTCAGGTTTGGGTTCAAATTTTCTTTGGAGCGAGACCCCGAACTCAAGCAAGCAACTCTTTTCCAATCTCATCTACATGCTAGACACATCTGGGAAATGCACTGAAACCCAGTCTGGGTTTGGAGCCCTCCTAAATAGGGGGTGTCCTGTTGGTTTTCCCACAAGGGTGCCCTCAACAAACAGGACTCGCAATTCAAAGTCAACCAACCAAGAACAGGGGGCGATCTCACTTTTGCTTTGGCACCCCCTCCAAAATGGTTGGACGTAGATGCCCACATGATGTCCATAGTGTCCCCAACTAGAATTTATCCCCCCAGCAAAGCAAAATGGATGAGAGTGTCACTGAACTGGAATAGGGGCTGTGAACATAGATTCTGGGGTCTCCAAACCAAGCCTCAGATGTGGGAGGATTGATCACAAGGACTAGAAATGCCGATGAAAGCCACAGGCGATTCGAGCAATCCCGGCCTTTAATTCTTGGGGATCCAGTCTTTTTTTCCTTCATTTTGTTTGTTTAAATTTGCGGTTTTGGAATGATACGTTGGTAGGACCCGTGAACCCAAAGCAAAGCGTAGCTACGTAACTGCCATGTGTAACACCCTTGTCAGGCTGGTTAACATGTGTTCGGGGATTTGCAGCCCCTTAAGGTCACGCGACCTGTGCAAAACGGGCCCCTTTTTTGAGGACCCACCCCGAGGCTCTGAAAAAGAGGAATCACCGACCATTTTGGGTTGCAATAGTGTGTATCAAAATTGTTATGGGTAGTTTGAGAGTCAAAGTACCACACATTGTGAAGCACAAGAGAGAAAGTCAGGTTCCCGGAGCCATGATCCTACAAGTTCTTTGGGAGACAAGAAACACATGAGACAAATCCGTTTCGCACCAATTGGTACGAATTCCAATATTCTAGGGTTTCTTCCAATCTAACTGCCTGATGTGGATTTTGTAACCATCCACAGCACCTTCTTTGACCTTTGGACTTTTAGAGGGACGACATATCCATCCACACTATAAGTTTAGCCTGTAGGCAAGGGAACAACGAACCACCAAACTGAGTCATACCTCCCCCTACTCCAGATACTTTGGGTAGGGGTACATTTCCAAGAATCATCCTTTCCGTGGTGGTTACGTTTTGTTTTGGCCAGGGGTTGCCATCCCCAACCAGGTTGAGATTGGGTGCACCAGGTTCTATGCAAATTTCTGCGGCTCCAATTTACAGAGCTCCGGTGGATCTTTTTTTCTTCTTCTTTTAAATGTTTTGTTTGCAGGGTTCCGTTTGAAGTCAAAGACCAATTCTGGGGTCTCCAACCAGCACCCTCCATGGAGCTTTTTCAATGTCCACAAAAGCTCACAGCGAAGATTTTGCAGGGCGGGTCCGGCGTTTGGTTTCCCAGGCCACTTTCCATGAGCCAAGGGATCACCCAACTTAGCTGCCACGACACGACATGACTTGACTTGACTTGACTTGACTTGAAATGGATGAAATGAATGAAATGCATGAAATGCATGAAATGAATGAAATGAATGAATGAAATGAATGAAATGAATGAAATGAATGAAATGAATGAAAGGAAAGAAATGAAAGAAAGAAAGAAAGAAAGAAAAGACAGAAAGAAAGAAAGAAAAGAAAAGAAAGAAATGCATAAAGAAAGAAATAAAGAATGAATGCATGCATGCATGCATGGATGGATGGATGGATGGATGGATGGATGGATGAATGAATGGATGAATGAATGAATGAATGAATGAATGAATGCAATGAATGGAATGAATGAACTGAACAAAAATGAAGGAAGTGAATGAAATGAATGATGTGAATGAAATGAGTGGAATGAATGAAACGAAATGAAATGAATGAATGAAATGAAATGAAAGGAAATGAACATGAAAATGAACATGAAAATGAACATGAACATGAACATGAAAATGAACATGGAAATGAACATGAGAATGAACATGAACATGAACATGAAAGGGAAGCGAGAGCTGGAGTTCAGGGACAGGGTGTTGAAAACTAGCGTCTCAGCTGGCGGTTCGTTTAAAATTGGCTCACATTTTAAGGGTGACTATGTATTTGCCAGAATCAGGATAGTTCCCGAATGCGAAGGCTTCCCATTGTTCAAGAGGTTTGGGGGCAAGGACGTGTTTTGCGAGACGTGTCAGTGTGATTGCAAGCGTTCGCAAGCGTCCGCGTGTGGAACAAGTTGCCTTGCCGTTGGGATTCCTGCGAAACGCAGCACCCTGATGAATCTTGAAGGGCTGAATTCGTTGTGCCTGTGTGTGAATCATGTGAATGAATTGATTGATTGAATGAATGAATGAATTGATTGATTGAATGAATGAATGAATGAATGAAAGGAATTGAATTGAATTGAATTTGAATTGAATTGAATTGAATTGAATTTATGAATGAATGAATGAAAGGAATTCAATTGAACTCAATTCAATTGAATTGAATTGAATTCAATTCAATTGAATTGAATTGAATGAATGAATGAATGAATTTGTGAATGAGTGAGTGAGTGAAATGGAATGGAATGGAATGGAATGGAATGGAATGGAATGAAATGAAATGAAATGAAATGAAATGAAATGAAATGAATGAATGAATGAGTGAATGAGTGAGTTAATGAATGAATGAATGAATGAAATGAAATGACATGACATGACATGACATGACTTGAAATGACATGACATGAATGCATGAATGAATGAAGTGACATGAAATGGATAGGAATGGAATGAAATGGAATGGAATGGAATTGAATGAAATGGCATAAAACACAGTGGAATGACATGAACTGACATGACATGAAATGAAAGGAAATGAAGTGAAGTGAAGTGAATGCATGAATGAATGAACAAACGAAGGAATGACATGACATGACATGACATGACATGACATGACATGACATGACATGACATGACATGACATGAAATGAACGAATGAATGAACGAACGGATGAACGAACGGATGAATGAATAAATGGATTGATGGATCGATGAATTAATGTTTCATTTTCCCCTCATTGTTTTGGAGGGGTCTTAAGCAAATGGAGGTAATGTTTTACACCTTGCGTTTTGGAATAAATTGCGGCAGTCCATCAACATGTTCTTGTTGAGGGACCAGGGTGTCTCCTCCAAATCGAGTTTACATTTTCAGTTAGACTAACTATGAACAAACGTATGAACATGTGATTTTCAGTATACTCCAGATGTGGGCCAAGATTTCTTCAGGGGACCCGGTTGTCGGGTCCCGGTGGACAGGTTCCGATTGTTTGCACCCAAGGATGCAGATGTGTTTTTCGCATCCGAGAGCCATAAGTTGATATTTCAAAGTTGTCCATTGCTCTTGCTGTCAAGCATCTGGTTGGACAAACACGAATCCCCACTTGGGCGCTCTGCCAAGATAGTGGTGAGCTATGTAGGTAACAACCCACAAATTGAGGTATAAGTCCTCTGTTGGGACTTGCAGGTGAGTCTTTCCACCTCAAGCGTGCCCTTGGACTAAGGAGCTGACGCTGGCGTCGCCCTGCAAGGCGCGATTCAGAATGGGGCAAATGCCGGCCTGTCGGGTGGACACTAGAAGTTGGTGTTCATTCTGCTTGTTTGTGGCCCTCTTAAGGGGGTAAGGCATTTTGAGGCTCGAGTTATCAGAAGTACTTTTGGGGCCGAACCCACCATGAGGGTGATTCCGAGCATTCTATTTTATCGGACCCAGTTGCTGCGCTGGGAGACACACACGAGTTGAGACAGAGAGCTCTCTCAGCTCGCTTGGCTCAGTTCCCGCAAAATCTTCCTAGGCGCAAGACTCTAAGACTCTAAGACCATGGCAGCCACGGAAGAGTGTGATGTGCTTCTCACCCAGCCTGCTCCTGCCCCCGGGTGGAAGCTGGGCAAGGTGGGCCTTTCCGTGTCCATGACCTTCGCAAGTCTGGTGGCTGTGGGCTATTACGTTGGGCATAAAGCTGCGCTTGCTGAAGCTAGCACAGAGTTCACCGGTCTCTCGGAGCTCTCGGTGCGTGATGTGGCTCGAGCCAAGCAGGTCACACCCGGCCCGCTGTTCCAAGCTCACTCTGGCCAGAGCAACGAGCTGTTGAACAAGCACTTGAAGCGCATCGCCCGCGGCAATGTCAAGCCCTGCGAAGATTTCTCTGCCGAGGAGCTGAGCAAAGCCAGAGCTAGATGTAAGAAAAGTAAGGGCCGCATATCCCCACATTGATTGAGCGAGCGAGCAAGAGAACGAGTGACTGCGTGCGTGCGTGAATACGTGAGTCCGTGAGTGGCTTGGTGGGTGGGTGGGCGGGCGGGTGGACAGGCGGCGTGCGGGCAGGCTGGCGGGCGAGCGATGGAGCGAGAGAGCGATGAACCGAGCGAGGGAGGGAGGGAGGGAGGGAGGGAGGGAGTAAGTGAGCTGAGCTGAGCTGAGCTGCGAGCGGGCGAGTGAGTGAGTGAGTGCGTGCGTGCGTGCGTCCGTCCGTCCGTGCGTCAGTGCGTCCCTGCGTCAGTGGCGTCAGTGAGTCCAGACTCCCAAAAGCAAACAGGGCCAGAACGCCCAAAAGCTAGATGTGTAGGTTAAAGGCTAACCACCAACCCTTGGTGATTTGTTTAAACTCAGGCTCCCTGTGGCGTGAATAACTAGGGGTTCTAGAAACAGCATGGGGACTTCCTTGGCTTGTTTAATGGATTGTTTTGTCGAATATGCCCGATAAATTCAAGAGTGCACTCAGGTGTATTTCAACCCACAAAATGTTCAAGGAACCCTTAGGCTCAACTTTCGAGCACGGCTTTCTGAAACTCAGGGGAAGCCAAGGAAACACCACCCCTTTTGGGGTCCTGCCCAGATATGGAGCCAGACTCGAAAGGAGCTCGTGGATGTGGCCATGCTCTTGGAGAAGCTTGGCCACCCTGAGCTGCAGAAACTCCACCAGGCCGCTCGGTTTTGCAAATCCGACCCAACCTTTTGGTGTTCAATTGTTGGTCCACCTTTAGTGCTCCAAGAAGGTGAACCTTTGCTCCAAAAAGGTGAACCTTTGATTTCTAGGTAAGGGGCAAGTGAGGACAACGATGAAGAGGGCTGGCTTGACCCGCGCGGGGACGAAGCGGTGAAAGTGGACTATGGGCAGCTGCAGTCTTTGCCGCAGGCGGGTTTAGACACTCTTTTTGGCTGTTTTTGGGGTTGGTTGAAACGGAAGCCACAAATGAAGCAATCTGCTTGAATTTTCCCCCCTATCTGGGCGCGTCTTTTTAAAAATAGCCCATTTTGGTTTGATTTGAAAGGACACTGAAAGGTACATCCATTGTGTGGGGCTTTCTGAGACCAACCCAGGAGCATATTCGGGTGGCAATGATGGAGAAGCTGTGCTACGAGGCCGCCATGCACTTTACCCACAGTTTGCCCGACGCGGACAAGGCCTCGTCCAGGTCCAGGCTGTTTGAGTCAGGCTGTGGCTTCACATCCCAACCGGTCCCAACTCCCTAACTCGTTGTTTGGACAGTTCCAAGGCGAGCTTCGCATCCAAGCACCCCATCCCGTTGCTGCCTCTGCGCTCCGGAGACGACACCGATGAGTTCCTTGTTCGCCGCCTCAGCGCCTCCCAGGGCCACAAAGTCTTCATTACCAAGTGCGCGCAGTGTCACACGGTGAGTGCAGGCCACCACATGCAGGGCCCCAATCTGCACGGCCTCTTTGGCCGGAAGTCGGGAGCAACTGATGGCTTTAGCTTCAGTGAGGCCATGAAGCGTAAGGGCATCACTTGGACGAAGGAGAGCCTCATGCAATACCTTATCATTCCCAGAAAGTATGTGCCCGGCACGAAGATGATTTTTGCGGGGTTGAAAAGGACACCGGAAAGGGAATCTCTTGCAGAGTATCTTGAGGCAGCAACCTGAGCATTAGCGATGTAAAGAGATGGCGATGGGCGGAAAGTCATTCTCTGAATTGCCCTGACATCCCTTGACGACTTCAAAGATTCAAAGAGGCAAGTGCTATAGTGGCTGACATTTTTTTATCTTCCCCTGTCCGCCGTCTCTGATGCCTACTTGGCGGCCTCCCCAAAGCTTTGGGGCCATCAGGTAGCTTGCAAGCCCTTTGAAAGTGCTACTCCCCGCTGGCCATGACCAAGCTCAGTGTCGACGAGAAGCTGCAACTTGCTCAAGTCTCTTTTGTTGCGTTCGTGTCGTGTTCCAATCGCAGCGGCTGGAGTAAGTTGGCTGAATGAGCGGAGGCGAAGCCTCCACATTAGTTTGTCTCGAGCCCGTGTGGTGCAGAGGGTCGCATGTCTGCGATAGGCAACAGACACAAAACTACAAGCCGAGAATGCCAGCGACGCCTCTTGGATTTCGCTAACTGCCGGGCCGAGTTAGAAAAAAGTATTTGATGTGGCGGAAATCTGAGACTGCAAAAGCGACACGCGAAAGGCCACATAGGTGCAGGTTTGTTGAGGGTACCCCTTTCAAGTTGGCTTAAAGGGACACCACGAGGAATTATAGCTCCCACTGAGTGACGCGAGGCCGCTCAGCAGAGAAGCGTCAAGCAGAAGATCTTGACCATCAAAGGCTCCATCCAAGCTAGGATGGACTGGCACCTCAGCACTGGCCTCGTGTCTTTCTTGGTTCCCTCTGGCCACAGGTCAAGCCATTGGTTCTGGAGCAAGGTTGTGGAATGAGGGAGTCTGGGGTGAAAAATGACACCTGCTCGGATCGGGAGGCGATGTCACTCAAGCTTGCTTAGCGCCCATTTCTCTCAAGTTTTCGGTTGGGCCACGTTTTTTCACAATTTGCCCAGGAATGACCCCAAACTGGAGAATTTAACTGGGATTAGGTTGCCCTTTTGAGCTTGAGGTTAGTCAGACACCCCCAAATCCCATCCCAAAACCAGATTCACCAAAAAATGGGCTACCCCCAAAACAATGGTTGGTTTCAAACCCTCCTGTTTGAGGGAGTGCTTGGTGCAATACTTGGGACCATAGTGGCAAACAAACAGTTCAGACTCCTTTTGGGCTCCACTCAGGAGGTGAGGAATCTTGCTTGCTTGGACTCGGGTTTGGACCTCACTTGGGACTTGAGAGACTTGTGACACGAACTCGCCACGGCTCGCTCGAGAAAATCTCCTGGTGTCAGCTGGCTCGTTCTCATGCAGCCATAGTGTGGTGAGGACATAAGATCCAGACTAAGGGCTATCGTTGGATTCCCCTACTTCACTCCCTGAGTTCCCGGACTTTATACTTTTGGGAGAACCATTTTAGAGGTAAACAAACAGTTCTAGCCTTTTCCGCAAATCCTCAGGAAGTCAGCTACTCCAAATACTCATTTTGTTTGAGTGTATACTTTGAAAAAGCCAGGTTTTCCATTGCAAAGACGTCAGGGATTGGCATCATACCCGCAAAGCAGCTGGGTATTTGGAGTACAGGCCAGAATCCATATATGAGTTTGGAAGGAGGTAGAAAGGGCAGCAACCAAGCTACCAGTAAACGCACACGGGCTTTCAAAACGGAATTGGTTTCCTTTGGATTTCTCTTCAAAACACTTCCAAAAGGTTGCACTCAAAAAAGACTAACACAAGTAACACCCCTCCTGAAACGCTCTCGAGCCCCTGGACTTCAATTGTTGGCACCAATCAAGCGGTAAGTTCAGAACAATCTTTTGGCCATCAGAAGGCAGAACCGACTCTGTACCTTACGGGTGGCTTTAGTCCAAACATTGCCTTTCAAGATGCCAAGGAGCTTTATTCGCTTGTGCGAATAGCGGGTCCGTAACTCGTTGTCTTTGCGCATTTTCTCCAGAGGCAACCAAGGGGACCCGCGCCTGGGAGCTGGGTCGGCTCAAGCTCAAGAAGTCAGCCATGCCAGTCCCCGCTGTTCCGGTGCTAACCCCGGTGCACCCCGAGCAGGCGCTGCCGGAGATCAGGAGCTGTTTGCTTTGAACAGCCAGACCTGAGGCCCCTGTAAAGAGAAACCAAAAGGAGGTCTGGCTTTTGTGTCTAAACGGCTCTTGTTTAAACATGGTTAGGCTGTTGAAGCACATGTTTTTGTTCATCATGTAAAGGATGTGCAAACACATGCTGTTCGGACATGTTTAAGATTGGTGAACCACATATCACGTTTACGCCATTTAAGTACGCGCAAACAGGTGTTGTTCAACCATGTTTAAGGCTGTTGAACATATGATGTCCAAGCATGTGATATTTAAGCAGATGTTCAAACCTGGTTGAGGTTGCTGAAGCAAACATGTTGTTTGAACGCCACTATTTTCGAGGTTGAAACAGGTGACCATTGTTTGAAGAGTTGCTCGAACATGTTAAAGAATGTTCATGAGCACCTAGTATGTTAAGGTTGGTTAAAACGATGTTGCTTAAACATGTTTAAGGTTGTTTTAGGCACACAGCTTGTCTAACCATGTGAGCGTTGTTGAGACATGTGTTCTTCAACTACGTATTTGCAATGTTGTTCAACCGCACATGCTGTTCACACGTGCTAAGGGTTGGTTGAACAGATGTTGTTTAAGCATGTTTAATGTTGTTGACACAACTATTCTTATTGAACATGTCACGATCTTTTGTTTTTGACACGTGTTGTGCAAGCATGTTTACTGCTGTTCCGGCGATAGGTGTAAGGCTGTCTAAGCAAATGTGCTGGTCAAACATATAACAAGGATACACAACCTTATGCACTTGAATCATGCTGTAGGTTGCTTAAACAATTGTGGCTAAAGCATGTTCCAACAAATGCAATGTACACATGATGAGATTTGTTCTACTGCCATGTTAAGATTACGCGCCACGGACATGTGGTGCCCGGGCGTACATCCATTTTGCCTTATCATGGATGCTTCGGCCAGCAAAAACCATGGGAAAACCAGTGTTTTGTGGCAGGCCAATCATGAGTTCACCACGTGCTTGCGCAGTACATTCACGGTAATGTTTTAGAAGAAAATGCTGGACAAGAAGCTGCTTTTGGCTGTTGTTTTGTTTTGTGCCATACTTCAAGTGGATCGCATGGGAGGCTTGAATCACATGGCCTGAGTGGAGGTTTGAACACATTCAAGAAGCGCCATGTTGCGAAGCCAACTTCAACCAGGACTAGATCATGCTATCTGCAAAGATGGCGGCCAGAGCATATCCAGATGACATAAAGTGCTGCAGTGGCTGAGGCGACGAAATGCAAGCATGCGCCATGAGCATATTGTCAGGCGTGTGCTTGTCCCCCCCGCCGTGTCAAAACAAAACCCGAAACCCTACCCCGCCCATGCAAATATGAGCCATGAACATATTGTCAACCATGTGCTTTTTACCCCCCCCCCCCCCGAAACAAAACCCGAACCGCCCCGCGCTCCCAAGGAACAGAGTGAAAGTCCGGGTACCAGGTGTCTACGGCGCGTAAGAGTATTGTTAAACAACGCGTTCAAGGTTGCTTATACCAAATACGCTGTATTGTCCAGCCATGCTTGAGGTTGTTTACCCAAATCTGATGTGTAACCATGGACACAATAACAGAGGTTGTTTAAACGTGGCGTTTAAAGAGATGTGGTTCAAGCATGTTTCATGTTGCTTAAACACCTATCGTTTTACCATGTTTGTACTATTTAAACATGTGTTTGTTGGTCAACCACGTTGGAGGTTGTTTAACCGCAAAACATGTTGTTTGAAGCGTGGTTTCAACCTGGGTTTAAGTCGCCCAATCCTGAGCAGGAGCTACTCGACTGCCAGCTTCCCGACGCATCGGGTTGAGGCTCAGGTGAGATCATTCCGCACCGAATTTGCGCCCTCAAAGTACCCTGAGGAGGGCAATAGCCCTAGTTACTTTGAGGTAACAGCCTATGTTAAAGGGTAGCTTGGGGTCCAGGTATCTCTGAAAAAATAGCCATTTCACTCCATCCGAGGCGTGCCACCCAAAAGCTGGGGCACGCCTGCCGCTGCCAAGCAGCGGCTCCGGCGACGCCTGCAGCACCTCGATGGGATTTCCCGAAGTTTGTCTCACCTTTAAAGGGGCGCGTGATTTTTTGACGGTACCTTTTGTGGGGTTGGTCTAAAAGGAGACCGCAGGGAAACTCACCATTGAGGAGTGCCCAAAACAAAGACACCGATGCCCAAATGCCACCGATTCTTAGTGGGTTCGAGGCTTGGTTTTGCCTGGTCACCCAGATCTGTCGCGTTTGCAGGGGGTCAAAACAAAGAGTTGCCATTTTCCCCATGGCCACTCAGGTTTGGGTTCAAACTTTCTTGGGGCGAGACCCCGTTAAACTCAAAGCAACTTTTTTCCAATCTCATCTACATGCATCTACACTCTGGGAAATGCACTGAACAGTCTGGGTTTGGAGCCCTCCTAAGGGGGTTCCCTGTTGGTTTCCCCACAAGGGTGCCCTCAACAGGACTCGCAATTCAAAGTCAACCAACCAAGAACAGGGGGCGATCTCACTTTTGCTTTGGCACCCCCTCCAAAATGGTTGGACGTAGATGCCCACATGATGTCCATAGTGTCCCCAACTAGAATTTATCCCCCCAGCAAAGCAAAATGGATGAGAGTGTCACTGAACTGGAATAGGGGCTGTGAAGATAGATTCTGGGGTCTCCAAACCAAGCCTCAGATGTGGGAGGATTGATCAGAAGGACTAGAAATGCCGATGAAAGCCACAGGCGATTCGAGCAATCCCGGCCTTTAATTCTTGGGGATCCAGTCTTTTTTTTCCTTCATTTTGTTTGTTTAAATTTGCGGTTTTGGAATGATACGTTGGTAGGACCCGTGAACCCAAAGCAAAGCGTAGCTACGTAACTGCCATGTGTAACACCCTTGTCAGGCTGGTTAACATGTGTTCGGGGATTTGCAGCCCCTTAAGGTCACGCGACCTGTGCAAAACGGGCCCTTTTTTGAGGACCTACCCCGAGGCTCTGAAAAAGAGGAATCACCGACCATTTTGGGTTGCAATAGTGTGTATCAAAATTGTTATGGGTAGTTTGAGAGTCAAAGTACCACACATTGTGAAGCACAAGAGAGAAAGTCAGGTTCCCGGAGCCATGATCCTACAAGTTCTTTGGGAGACAAGAAACACATGAGACAAATCCGTTTCGCACCAATTGGTACGAATTCCAATATTCTAGGGTTTCTTCCAATCTAACTGCCTGATGTGGATTTTGTAACCATCCACAGCACCTTCTTTGACCTTTGGACTTTTAGAGGGACGACATATCCATCCACACTATAAGTTTAGCCTGTAGGCAAGGGAACAACGAACCACCAAACTGAGTCATACCTCCCCCTACTCCAGATACTTTGAGTAGGGGTACATTTCCAAGAATCATCCTTTCCGTGGTGGTTACGTTTTGTTTTGGCCAGGGGTTGCCATCCCCAACCAGGTTGAGATTGGGTGCACCAGGTTCTATGCAAATTTCTGCGGCTCCAATTTACAGAGCTCCGGTGGATCTTTTTTTTTTTCTTTTAAATGTTTTGTTTGCAGGGTTCCGTTTGAAGTCAAAGACCAATTCTGGGGTCTCCAACCAGCACCCTCCATGGAGCTTTTTCAATGTCCACAAAAGCTCACAGCGAAGATTTTGCAGGGCGGGTCCGGCGTTTGGTTTCCCAGGCCACTTTCCATGAGCCAAGGGATCACCCAACTTAGCTGCCAGATACATTGCGGAAAATCGCTCGGGTTTTCGGGCTCTTTGCCTTTGGGAATCCACTGAGTGATCAGAGTCAACTGTAAAGCCGCCAGATCTCAACGCGAGACCTTCGCCGAGTTCCGTGTGTTTTGGGGATGCAGCCCCTTTCAAAATCCAGCCGACAAAGGGACTTGCCCTCATTTCCTGGGGCCTCTCTTCACCCCTTTCAGCAACTCGCTCAAGCTGGTTGCTTGATACCTGGGAAGACGATGGTACAAAACAAAAAAGTGGATTTGTGCTAGCCAATACACTCAAGTGAGCCGTTGACAGGTTTTTCCAACAACCTATTTGGACCTCGAGTTGCGTACTGTGGCCTAAAGAATGAATGGGGGGGACAGAAAACAACACAATAAGTTAGGATATGCACTTTATGTATGTCTGCACTTGTGTAGCCTCTTGAACTTGAACCATGTTTGGATAACCAACTGCTTTGGCTCGGTGTTGATGTTACTTGCCGGCCCTATTTTCTAGCCTTATTTCCCCATCGCAAAGCCGACGCACATGGGCATCATGGATCATGTGCACCTGATGTTTGCTTGCACACCCATCCTTGCCCATCCTTGCAAAGCCTTATGACATGCGTTGTGTTTGTAGTCGACCTAGTCTTTGTTTGAGATCCCGATGGTTGCCCCATTTGGACCTTTGTGTTGGTTGAACGACCATTTGTTGGCAATTGTTCAACCTTCTTCTTGGTTGAAAGCCAATGCTCCGTCCTTATGCCGAGTTGAAGCGCCATCATCTAGACCTTGCTTTTGGTTGAACAACTCCTTGGTTTCCCGACCTCGAACAAGATTTATCACCCATCCCCCCAATCCCAGGTAGGTTACTCACCAAGTCGGTCACTCACCTATGTCATATTGACCAGATCTGAAACAACATCTGACAATCTGATTTTTGGGTCTACAGACTTGGAGTCTTGGCGCGGGGCTACTCACCTTGGCAACGGCTCCACCCGAGGAACGGCGCGCTGCAGCGCTTTCTTGTGGACTATAAGTTCAAGGACCCGAGTATTGCCAAATGAGCTTGTCTACCCCAAAAAATTCAAAAGGGTTAGCACCCTCAGCAACAAAACACACTCAAATAGCTCTCCAAAACCATGGGATAGACTACTCCTAGGGTCTGAAAAATTGAGTCCCTTGCTGTAAGCTAAAACTTCAACTCGGATATGATACTTGGCTCACATCTCGGGTACACAGAAACTCCTGTCTGATTCATTTTTGGACAATTCGGAAAATGGCCCCAAGGTGCGTCACTGCCTCGAGTCTCCTTCTGAATCATGGAGACAGGCAATCAGTGTTAGGATGGCTCTCGGATCAACGCTTATATTCACGCTTCCGACTTTCCCGAATGAGAAGGGTCCCCTCAAACCTTCGAAATGCCTGTGGCCGCGCAATTGATCTATGACTTCAGCAATGGGTTCGGAAAGGTTCATAGGTTCAGGGAGGGTCTCCCGAATTTGGTTCTTCATTTCGTCGGGCTCTTTGGACGCCCTCGGGGTTCTGTCCGTGAGGACCCCAACACACCAAGGTCTACCTGGAGCTTTCATCTCTTCAGCGACTGAGCTACAGTCGGCAAAAAGTAAAAAGTCAGCGGTATCAACCCTCGCTGGATTTGAATGTGGGTGTTTCGACCAAGTAAATCGGAACCTCAAGAAGCTCGCTTTCTGAGTTAATGGACTTCCAGTTTAGGTGTGTGTGTGTATATAGGGGGGGGGGGGAATTGGGCGCGGTGCGGTGAGGTCATGACCTTTTTCCCGGAAGTATTGCGAAGGGTTCTTCTTCTAAAAGCGGATGCAGACTTCACCTGCCAACTTCTCATGCCAACTTTTTGATAGTTATTTCACCTGCTAACTTCTCATGCCAAATTTTCGAGAGTTACTTCACCCGCCAACTTCTCATGCCAACTTTTGAGAGTTACTTCACCTGCCAACTTCTCATGCCAACTTGTCGGGTGTTGTCTCATTATCCTAAAAGCACAAGCTAACTTTTCGGGCGTTACTTCACTATCCAGAAAAACACAAGCTAACTTTTCTTTTGTACCTTCGCTTCTCGACTCTGAATTCTTCTTCTTTTTCTGGCGGGGGTAGGCCCGACAGCTTACACAACGCACCTCTCTGCGGAGATCGTGGGTGTCGAAGCGCTGTCGCTGTGGCTCCGTGCGAGGTTGTCTTGAGCGCGGCGAACCCTCTGCGGAGATCGTGCGTGTCGAAGCGCTTTCGCTGTGGCTCCGTGCGAGTTTGTGTTGAGCGCGGCGAACCCTCTGCGGAGATCGTGCGTGTCGAAGCGCTCTCGCTGTGGCGCCGTGCGAATTTGTCTTGACCTCGGGGAACCCTGTGCGGAGATCGTGCGTGTCGAAGCGCTCTCGCTGTCGCGCTGCGCGAATGCGTCTTGGTCTAGGCGAACCCTCTGCGGAGATCGTGCATGTTGAAGCGCTCTCGCTGTGTCGCCGCGCGAATGTGTCTTGGTCTCGGCGAATTTTTTGCGGAGATCGTGCGTGTCGAAGCGCTCTCGCTGCGGCGCCGTGCAAATGTGTCTTGGTCGCAGCGAACCCTTTGCGGAGATCGTGCGTGTCGAAGCGCTGTCGATGTGGCGCTGTGCAAATGTGTCCTCTGCGGAGATCGTGCGCGTCGCAGCGCTCTCGCTGTGGCGCCGTGCGTATTTGTCTTGACCTCGGAACCCTCTGCGGAGATCGTGCGTGCCGAAGCGGGGATGAGCATCAACAAATTATTGAGACCTAGTCTCCTGGTTTCCTGGTCCTGGTCTCCTGGTCTCCTGGTCCCCATGTCTCCCTAGTCTTGCTGGTCCTGGCCCCTGGTGTCCTGGTCCACGTGTCTCCTCCTGGTCTCCTGGTCTCCTGGTCTCCTGGTCTCCTTTGGTCTCCTGGTCTCCTGGCCTGCTCTCCTACCCGAAGCCGACCCTAAGCCAAACTACACCCACCATAAGCCAACCCAAAACCCACCTACAAACCAACCTTGAAACCGACCCTGCGCAACTTTTAGACCAACCCTAAACCCGCCCTAAACCAACCCTAAACCAATCCTAAACCCATCCTAAACCTACCCTAAACCTACCCTAAGCCAACCTAAAACCACCCTAAACCCAACTAAATCTAAACCAACCTAAATCCACCCACCGTAAACAATCCCTAAGCCCTCCCTAAGCCCGCCCTAAACAGACCCTAAACTAAACCTAAACCCACCCTAAACCAATCCTAAGCCAACCCTAAACCAACCTAAGCCAACCCCAAACCCACCCGAAACCCAACCAAAATTAACCCTAAGCCAACCTTGAAACCAACCCTACACAACCTTAAGCCAACCCTAAACCCAGCCTAAACCAACCTTAAGCCAACCCTAAACCACCACCGCAACTTCTAAGCACAAAAGCGGTGTGCGAAGAGCATTTTTCCGCAAATCGAAACTTCTGAGTACAATAGTACGCGAAGAGCATTCCCAGAGCTCCGACTGCAAAATCGCAATTTTCAAGTACAAAAGTTACACGAAGCACGCTCCCGCAACTCCAGCTCGAAATGCGCAATTCTTTTACGTACAAAAGCAGTACGCGAAGTGCACTCCCGCAGCTCCTGCTGCACAATCGCACGTGCAAAAGGTAGTACGCGAAGTACACTGCCGCAGCTCTTGCTGAAAGCTTGCAAGTTTAAAGTACAAAAGTAGTACACGAAGCGCGCTCCCGCAACTCCAGCTCGAAATTCTCAATTTTTACGTACGAAAGTAGTGCGCTCGCTTCGCGCACTCCCGCATCTCCAGTACGCAGAGAGCATTCCGAGAGCTCCGGCTGCAAAAGCGCAATTTCTAAATACAACAGTAGTACAAGAAGAGCACTCCTGCAGCTCTAGCTCGAAAGTCGCAAATTGTAAGTACAAAAGTAGTACGCGAAGTGCATTCCCATGGCTTTGGCTCAAGAATAGCAATTCTCAAGTACAAGAGTGTATACCGCGGAAACTGTGCTCCCGCAGTTCTGGCTGCAAAATCGCAAGTTTTCAGTTCCGGATACAAACGCAAGTTCCAAGTACGCAGCCAGCACGCGAAGAGCACTACAGCTCAGGATTTAGCACGCGAAACGCATTCCCGCAGTTCCGGCTAAAAAGCAAGTTTCAAGTATGCGAGCAGCACGCGAAGAGCATTCACGCAGCTCCGGATCGCAAATGGTAACTTTTTTGAGTACAAAAGTAGTACGCAAAGTGCGCTCCCATGTCTTTGGCTCAAGAATCGCATCTTTTAAGTGCAAAAGTAGTGCGCGAATGCAATCCCGCAGCTCCGGCTGAAACATTTCTAAGTCTCTAAGTGTCTACACGCAAAGGTCGTGGGCGAAGCGCGCTCTTGCAGCCCCAGCTCGAGAATCGCAGTTTTCAAGCGCAAAAGAAACACCCAGTTGCACTTCCGCACCTCCGGCTTGAAATCTTAACTTATGCGCGCAAACGTAGTGTGTGAAGTACACTTCCGTAGCTAAGACAGCCAGCCTTCTTGCGCAGCCAAACTGCGCACTGATTTGGACAAAAGAGGTTGACAAAAGAAACGCAAAGAGTGGACAAAAGGTGTTGTAGAGCATCATGGGCAACATCACGCACAGCGCCACGCGCAGCATCATTTGCAACATCACGCGCAGCATCACGCGCGGCGCCACACACAGCTTCACGCGCAGCACCAATTCACAACCTCGCGCGCAACAGAAACTGACACGAGAGATTGCGAAGCATGATGCTAAGCTTGCTCATCAAAACTTGCGGAAGCTAGTCTTGAGCAGGGACATTGACGTGTTTACGCTTTGTTTCTCATGAGGTGGAGGAGGCGTTAAAGTTGATTTAACGTGTTTCTTTGCTTCCGGGCCCCAGTCGTCTAGTTTTTAGAAAAGAAGTGTCCTCCAAAATGGTTCAGGGCCAAGCTTTTGGGCCTGCGGCCTCTATCCGGCTACGCCTCTTTGAAGGGGGCCTTTGCGTTGAGCCATGCCATTGGCAACCCTATTGTATTTTTCATGATTGGCGGGGTGTAGCGCCTGTTTTGCAAAAGCTTTGGTGGTTCTGTTTTGTTTTTGAACACAATTGGAAAAGGAGCCAACAAAGCAAAGTGATTTGCGATGCAAAATTGGCTCACACCATGGCATGTCATTTTATTGCGTAAATTATACCAAGTCAAGTCATTTTACTGTGTGTGAAACGTATCCTATGCCGTTAGGCTATGCATTTAGCCCACTCCAGCCATCAACGTATGAGATGATGCTGGGATGCCAGCTTTCTGAGCCCTAGCAAGGGCCCCAACCGAGTCAACTCACATGGGGTCGCGCGCGCGCGATGGCGCGCGCGCGCCCCAGAGGCCCCAGAACGACCAGCCGAAAAAGAACAGCTGGCAAGCCAGCCCAGAAACACAAACGCAACAAAGCACTGTAAACAGCAGCGTTTTGTGACCGGGCGCGAGCGCGCGCGCCGCAAGGCCCCAAAACCAAGTGGAAAGAACACCGACCGCGCAGCGCACGAGCCCCCGCAGCAGAAGCAAAACAAACACAACATCAGCCCATCGCGCAACATAACCTTTTTTGACGGTATTTACGGCGTTTTGTTGGGCAAGGAACCAGCTTGGCCCCAAAATGCGTCATATGCCTTCGGTACCCTCGGGAAATCAATCAGTGATTCATGGGTTGCGACGCTTTTTGGGCGGAGTCTTGATGCAGACCAAGCCCCGCTGAAGCATCACCCAGAACCAACCCCAGACCCTGATGATGTCAGTCACACGGCCTAAACCCTGCACACACGCGATGTTTTGGAGGGTTCCAACAGGCAAGCAAAACTGCAGGCTCGAACTGATACTTCAGAGGTGCCGGATTTAGGCAACGCATCACGACCAAGTGATGAGGGTCGGCGGCACAGGGGTGCAGCCCCATAGCTAAAGCTAGCGTGCAAATTTGCCTAGCGGTAACATGCTACCCCAAGGGGACGCAACCAGAGGTACACGCTGACGCGACACAGCCGGCCACTGGGCGCCCCACTTCCCTTCATGTGCAGTCCTTTCCCCTTAATTCCCTTTAGTTCCCGTGCGATTTCAACCTCACTTCCTTTTCACGTCAGTTTCCTGCTCTTCCCTGCGCTCATTTCCCTGCATGCCCCTTCGTCTTACTTCTCTTTAGTTCCCATGACTTCCTTTCATTTCTCTTCTCCACCACAAAAACTTCGTTCCCTCAATGTTCTTCCATGTCCCTGCATTTCCCTTCATTTTAGTTTCCCTCCAGTGCTCTCTTCACTTCCTTGCACCTTGCACTTCCCTTACTGGGGGTGCTGTGGTGTCCCGTACCAGGCACCCTTCCAAGACCACTCGTCATTTGACTCTCCACAAGAATCCCCGCAAATCGCCTAAACAAAACCAAAAACCTTATTCGGGCGGGTGTCAGCGCAACACGTATGCGCATGGTCCCTGCATGGTCGGCGGTATGCAGCGGACGGCCTTATACCTGAAGGTAGCCCTCCGGGCTAGGCCTTCGGCCCGGTGCAGTGCCGCCGACCGGCTGAAGTGGAGAAGGGTTCCATGTGAATACCGAACCCTATCTTGCAGTCCTGCGGGCCCGCCAGCCCAAAATTGTCGTCCGCGCAGGATCCACGCAAGATCCACGCAAGATCATCACGATGAAGAAGATGAAGATGATGATGATGGTGAATCATCACTAGGCAGAAAATAAGGATGACGATGACGATGCATGATGATGCTGATGCTGATGCTGATGATTAGAAAGCAGCATTACGCATCATCCGTGTTGGTGATGTTGAGGATGCGTAGTGATGATTCATCGTCAGCATCAGCATCATAATGCATTATCATCGGCATTGTTGTCTGTTGCCTAGTGATGATTCATCATCAGCATCATCATTATCATCGTCATCGCTCATCGCTCATCGCTATCATCATCGTCGTCCTTATCTTTTTGATTTATGTTTGAAGTGTGCTGTTAGGGCGGACGCAGGGGATGCGTAGTCATGATTATCACCATGATGGCGATGCTGGGGATACATAATGATTAATATATCATGGGGTGAGTAGTGAGAATCATCATCATCGCTGCTGATAATTATGACTACTCACCAAGGTTATGATGACGGGCATGATGATAATCATCAGTATGCGTCCCCAGCACCACCAGCAGTCATGATCATATTCATGTCTACGAATGATGATGATGAGCACCATGATAATGGTGATGATGCTGATGATAAATCATCACTAGGCGAGCAAAAGATGATGCTGATGCTGATGATGATAAACCATCCCTACGCATCCCCAGCATCACCAGCAGGCTCATCATCCTCAGCTCCCCATTCTCATCATCCTCATCATTATTGTCCTCATCCTCATCGTCGTTTTCATGATAATCATCCTCATCGTCCTCATCATCCTCATCATCATCATCATCCTCATCATCCTCATCATCATCATCACCACCCTCATCCTCATCACCTCATCATCCTTACCCTCATCATCCTGATCATCCTCGTCATCCTCGTTCTCATTTTTTCCATCCTCATGATCATTATCCGTCTATGCATGATGATGCTGATGTTGATGATGATGAATCATCATTTCTAGAAATGTGCGGCTGCCCCTCGAAAGCGTGACGTTTGATTCCGAAGTGGGAGGTATGGACTTGCCCCGAAAGAGGTGGCAACTCTAGTGGTTGGGTGCTTCTTGTTTTGGAGCGCTGATCTCACTGGTTTTCAACTGGCCCAGTTGTTGGTTTGCTTTTTGGAGGTTTGGACCATTTGAGCAGCACACAGTCAGTTTGGTTACTTTTTCTGGCCAACCCACGGAAATCAGAAGCAACTGATTAGAGTTGCAGATGATGTCCAGTTGATCAACGCGTCAGGGACCACACTCGCGAAAGTGTTCTTTTACTATTGACATATTTCCGCAAGCAGCCCGCTGGCAGGTTCCGTGCCAGCAGAGTGTATTCTTCTCATTTGGCAGGCGTGCTTATCACTTGGCAGGCGTGTGTGCAGTTCTGACGGGGTGCAAGTGAACGGGCATGCTCACCGCCAGGAACTGGAGCACATTTTGTGTGGAAGTCGGGCTGAACGTAAACATGTTTGCCCCGAACCCCCTCACCAACACGACGCCTTCGAGTAGGTTCAGCTAAGGCCGTAGTAACTGAGTCATCCTTTGTGTTGGCCTCTACCTTGCGCGGGCTTGTTTTTGTTTTCCGAAGGCTTGCAGCACCGAACCAAAGTCAGCTCGGGTGTCGATTGGGCCGAGCTCACTTTGAATCCGTCTAGGCGAGCAGCGAATCTACCCCATCCACGTTGCCGCGAAGCTTGGGGACTACCAGCTGGTCAGGACACGAATTTGAACCATGAGGTTTAAGAGCTGCCATCTCGAAATTGGGACATGAATCCACGATGAATTAGCTGATGGCAGCATTTCTGGTCCCCAGTTCCAATTTCCCAAAGATGCATGTGGTTGTTTTCTCTTCCCCGTGTTGCCCTTTGTCCAAGTTTCTTGGATTTTATTCGTTGCAGACACATTCGGCTTGCTTCGATCCACGAAAGTGACGAGTCGTGACACGTGTCACACGAAACCCAACATACTCGTACCAGGAACCAGGTTGGCAACTAAGCAAATAAAAGTAAACAGTGACCTGTGGGCAAGTTCTGGCGACCTCATCTGCCGGGCTTGGCAGGCAAACGCGTTTCGCATGAAGGCTTCAGCATGTTTGCTGAAGTTTGACTTGTTTGGAGCTCAACGACATGCGTTTTCGGACCCTCAAACTTTTAGGCTCAAATTCTCAAGGATAGCATCCATTCCCAGAGTTCTCCATATTTGGGGGTGCGTGTCCCCTTGGGATTGGGATGGTTTAAAGGGACAAGCGAAAGGACAATCGAACTCCAATTTGGGGGTTCCCCTTAATTTCGACGCACCCAAAAGGAAGCCCCTGCCGTTCTCTGGATATCAAGACCCCCTTCTTCGAGAATTCCATGCGAAGTTTTCTGCTTTAAAGGGGCCCCCAGTTGAGGGGTGAGTTTCCTTCAGGTTTTCCTTTCAAACCACCCGAAGGGTACCCTCAAAAGCAACCGAAGCAGAGGATCCTGCTGGCCGCTGGCGCCGACCGGGACAGCCAGACCTCCAAGGGCCGCAAGGAACCGAATCGCCGAAAGGGCAACGTCTGGATGAACCCTATTCGTAGCATGGGTTGATTGTGAATCTGGCCTCCCGATGTTTCCCTTAGCCAGTTTAAACATCCACTCTTGCAGGACCAATTGTGGTTCTGATGAATTAAATGGGGCCCTTTGGACATCATCGGGATTTGTGCTCAACCATTTTGAAGGTGGTTTCTCTTGAAATTCAATCCAATTCTGTGGTTTCGATTGGTGGTATGCATTTGGATTTGAACCCTTAGTTCTTGTTGAGGGATGGCAGAAACCACCCCCTTCACACCCCCAAACCACGGCTTCGGAGGCGTGGATGCTTACATACCACCTGTATAAGCCGTGCGGCCGTTAACATGCCCCAGGATTGGTGGCACCATGAGAACTAATTACGCCAAGCCCAGGTGGTATCCCCAGCAGCCAGTCTGGAAGCCACCGCGCTCACAGGAACTTGGGGGTTTACCTCCAAAGCTCCAGAACTGATCGGGCCCAAAGCTTTCAGCTGGGGAAGAATGGCTGTGGGTCAAAATCAATGGTACCATTTTTGGGGTAGGCGCATCACGCATTTTGGTCTATTTTAGTGGGGATTGGGATGTTCACTAAGAATACGGGCTTTTGACCCATGGCCAAATGGAGACCCCAAAAAGAAAGGTTCCAATGCGTGTTCTACCAAGCGGGTCACTGGTTGCTTTCGGAGGGTGGCTGCTCCTCTTGAGGGGCCCACTGGTCCCCTAATTGGCGGTTCTTGTTAAATGGGAAGCTAACTCCAAACCACCCATTCAAAGCACCAAGAGGAGCCGATTTCTGGACTTTCTATCTTGAGGGTTTGGACCATTTTAGTGTCTCTTAAACATGTTGGTTACTTCTTTTGACCAATCCACTCAGGAAAAGAGGGTCCCTCACAGTGATCAGTGATCATACCTCCAAATTCCTTTTGCGTGTGGCAAGCGCAAACCCCAAACCACCATGCAGAGTTGGCAACATTTGGATGCTTGGACCCAGTTCCAGCCAGTTTCCAGAATTATGTTCTTCAGCTCACATGTCAGGCAAAACGTGGTGGTTTGCATTAGTTTGGGTTTGGATTTGAACCCCTGGTTCTTGGTAAATGGGAAACCACCCCCATTCACACCTCCAAACTACCGGGCTCCAAACCATCGAAGCAACGAGACCATTCTCCCGAGATGTCTTTGGGAGAGTTGTCCCTGTACCCAGTGCTCCCAGTTAAATCGGAACCCAGTTGATTAAACCCCGCTTGGGGGTCCCCCTTTGAGCAAGCAACATGGTCAGCTTCCTGTTTCTTAGCAAACGTCCTTTTTCTCCTTTGGGATTGTCTCTGTTGGGTTGTCGGGGTCGGTATTTTGGGGGGACATTTCGTTGGGGCCCGTAGCCTCAAAGCAAAGACAAAGTTCTCAGATTTCTCTCGGATGGTTCCATCATGCTTGCCTTGATTGAGAGGGGCGATGTTTAAATTGACTCCTTTGGGTTCCAGGGGGGCTTTTGGGCGAAGGGTTGGGTTTCTGAACCCCCTTGGTAAACAAGCGGTTTGGTTTCTTGTAAGCATGTCAATTTGTGCGTTGAAAACCATTTAGTTAGCTACGTTCCAGTAAACCTCATGCAGCAAGAAGGGTTGTGGTTTCCGGTACTTGGACCGCTTAATGCTGGAGACGATCGGTTTGACGCTTAGCTCTGAAGTACCAGGCATGCTGAAGGTCCTTTGAAGGTGATGGAATAGTACGCCGCCCCGGAACTTTGTCACAGCTGTCTTACAAAAGGACCAACACATGGAGTCAACACCGAAAAGCAGTGGTTCCAGTTTTTTTCTACCGAACGGATCACTGGGTGCAACTGGGTTAAGATGGCTCTTTGTTTGATGGTTGGAACAACAACTTACAAAATGGTGGTTTTGGCTTCTTACCTGGGCTTTCGGTGGTAGCAAGGCTTTAAAAACCTGAACGTGTGTCTCTTGTTGTAGGGACCCCCCGTTCTCCTGAACAGCATGTTGTTGCTTTGGGTATTCAAATAAAAACAAAAACAACAAGGTTCCCCCCCTCCCCCCGCAAAAACACACACACAACCCAAACGCCAGCTCGGGTTTTTGGGCATCGTTCAGGCGGAGGACTTTGCGCTGGAGGCCAACACGAGCGGCTCCCACGATCATGTGCTGTCCTTGCTCAAGGGGGGTGCCACTCGTTTGGAAAAAGAGTTGGCGAGCGACTCCACTGAAAACGGAAGCGGGGGAGGAAGGCCATTCCAACAAAGAGCGAGTGCACTGAGATTCCGTAGTTGTCCAAAACCGACCTTTTGACCTTTTCGTTTTCCCCCGTTGGTCCATGAGTCAAGGTCGCAAAAGGTGAACCTTTTATTGCAATCTGCTTTGGGCAAGTGAGAAAAGGCGAGCGAGTCCACTGAGAAAGGGGGGGTGTAAAACCCAACGTAGTAGTACTCCTTTGTTCCAGTTTTTTCAGGTCTTTAGGGGTGGGTGGGGGGGTTTGGGGGTTTCCAACTTGTTTCAAGTTAGTGTTGGACGAGGCCACCCTTTCAATGTCTGCCAAAACTTGGGCACACCCATTTTTCCATATTTCCAACAGAGATCTGGGATGGAGTTGGAAAGGAACTATCCAACTGATGGTTTCCTAAGGGAGCCCCAAACGGCTCATTCCAAAAGCCCTCGCTTACCTACTAAGAACCAGCAGGAATGCGATGGTGAGTAACAATCAGTTAAAATGTGTGCCAACTGTGCCTATTGGTTGGGTATGCCAAGCGGTTGTTACTCACTGCAAGGTTCGCTTGGACCATACTGTAAGGCAATAGCTGAGCTGGCTCAGCTATGGCCTTTCCTTCCAATAGCGAGCCCGTTGCCAGGTGTTCATGCATTGTCAGTTGTGCATTCGCAGGCATTCCGCGAAAAGGCTGTGCACCCACAACCCAGCCACTCTTCGAGTGTCGAACCCCTTCGGGTTCCATGTGAATCAGTTTTCAAAACCGACCCATTTTGGCACATGTTTAGTCACGGCCCCAGAAGGTTAGCAATTTTAAGTCTTTGTGTCCTTCGGGCAACTGAGTAGTTGCCAGAGTATGCGTCAGCGATAGGCAGTGGTTTGTTCGTCCTGTTTTAATTTGCGGGTGCATAATCTCACGGCCGCGAACCGCCCAAAGGCATTCTATACAGACTCATGCTCACGAAACTCATTGAAACCTGACTTTGCTATTTGTCCTAAGCAGGGACACCTCGAGGTGGTTGCATTCCTTCTTTTTCTGTTGTACCCGACACCATCCTACCAAGAGTTCCTATTTTTATGTTCTGACAATACTTAGTTGTTTGCTTGATTCATGGTGGAAGCAGCGCAGCTCTTAGTTTTCCAAACGTTCAACACCCTGGCTTTTGAAGCAAACTGCAAAACAGTTTCCCACGAAGTTTGACTCTCACAACGCGCACCCAGGATTAATACAACCCCCTTGTTGATGAATAGGAGGATGCCCATTCCAAGTGCAAGGGAAACAGTCGCCCTTTGTCCGAAAAGGTTCATTCATCCAGGGTTGACATGCCGCTTCTGAGTCGATGACTTGCCTACGGTAGGGGTTGACTCGCATTGCCTGAATTGACCGGATCGGCTTGTGATTGTCCAGGCTCGTGTTTTTCTACAGGTTGCTTCCCCGTTCTTTCTACCAGGAACCCGGAAGCCGTGTGGGGAAAGCTCGCTTGATTTGTGCACTGCGCCCTTTTGGTAGGGTTTAAGTTAAGACAACCTCTCAAAGTTGTTCGTTTTTCAGCAACTTCTCAAACATGTTTGAAACAACTTCTCCAAACGCGCAGACAAGCACACTCCAATCCCGTGGCATACATTGCAGTCAGGTGTACCACCCTTTCTTAAGGAGCCAAAAAGGAAGATGCTCGATCTTCCAAGAGCCAGCCCAGTCTGTCCTTTCACTTTGTCCAGGCGCCCAACTCAGACCAGTCGCCTTTGAGCATCGCATTGGGCAGAAAAACAACTCCACTTTCAAGCTTTCTAGGGGAACCAAACGATGTTTTTTTCAACAAAGATGTTCACCTGGGGGTTTATGTTGTTATCCATATGACCGTCACCCATCCAAAATGGCTGTTTCCCTTTGGTTTGGTGCTTCAACCCCCCTCACCCTGCCTGAGGCGAAGGTCGTGAAAGCCAGAGCACTCTACGAGTACTTGGGCTGAGTTCGAGATCTGATCCCGTGGTCAATGGTCCATGTTTGGCTCATCTTTTTTGAGGGTACCATTGTCAGGTTGGTTTACCTGGAAATCCAAAGGAACACCACAGGAATACCAAAGGAACGCCAAAGGAACACCACAATGGGTACCCCTTTGACACCAATTCATTTGGGAAATTCACTAGACTCATCACTTTTCTCACTTTGAGTGTGGTCCATGACTTTTTCAAAAAATATCAAATGATTAGGGATTCGCCCGAGCTTCGATCCAAATCTCCATATGGTTACATGGTCCATTGGTCGACAGGTTGGGGACCCTTCAGATGGGAGGCTTCGACTCGAAATGCCCGCCCTGTTTGAAAGCCCTCGAAATAGCTCTTGATAGGCCAAAAGTGCATTCGCCAGGCTTGGGGCCTCCGGATTGGTTCAGTTCAAGACATGGGGCTTTGGATCGGCTCTTCACTCCAAACTATTTGGCTCACAACGGTAAACGTTGACCAGGACAAGTTCATGGCTTTGGTTCATATGGGTATGTCCTGATCAAAGGTCTTTGGGTGGATGTAGACAATCCACCGAGAAAGTCAGTTTTGCAGCACCCCGCAACCTCAATTGAGTTGTTAAAACCCTGTAGCATGTTGCTGAGTTGCTTTGAACCATAAAAATCAGGACAACTCCTTGGATTGGTTGCGTTGCCGCATGGGATCTCAATGGATTTCGGAGCACATGCGGCTTTGAAAACCCAAAGGCCTCTTGGGGTGAAACAGGTTAGTATTCTCGGGGTGCGAATGAAAGGACTGCTTGAAGCTTGGATTCATCACGGGATTGGACTACGGAGTTATCTCAGCGTAGTCTCAGCATCTCGCTTTGTCGCGTAAGGGACGCCACCGCGCTTCTGAGGAATCTGTCTATGCTGGCATGATAGCAAGGAGCAACCCATTACTGTCTACTGGTCACTACGGCCAGCTAAGCATCTGGGCATAGCTTTCCCTTGCCATCATGGTCTTCCTTGTCCGAAAAAATCGGCAAGGTAACACAGGTTTTACCACCCAGTGCTTTCGAAGTTCAACTCTCTCGAGTGAACGACTTGTCCTTTGTGGGAAGGCCATTTTAGCGGCAAACAAAACACGAACTTACTTTGTTTGTCCAATCCACTCGTTCGGAGAGTCGTTCATGAGAGTCCTTCGCTTATTGGCGGAAGCCGTTAACGTTAGCGGCAAGGCCGTTGGCTTTCTTCCGGTCTATTGAACGATGGGACGAGCGGAGAATATTTCAAGGGGGAAGCAAAGGAACACCATTTCGGGGTTCCCTCATTTCGAGACAAACCCATATGTTCTTTTGCAATAGCCCGGCCAATTCGGGTTGCGACTGCACATTTGTGCGCTATCGCTTGGCTCGAGCCATGTCATGCTGCCAAGCTGTAAGGAGCATGTGCAGAACACTGCGCGCTGGCTCCCACATTTTCCCTTGGAGCGTCTTTCACGTCAAGCCATATTGTGACTCAGTTTTCAATTGGTTTATTCGGCCCCCGTCGCTGGACAATTCACAGAGCCATGGGCGTCGACAGCTCTTTCGGCAAGGGTTCCCATGTGTTTTGATTACCCCAAGGTAGACTTCAAATCAGGTGGGTAAGTCGAGCTCTGGGTTTAAGTCCCGGCAGTGGCGAACTGAAACTCTGGGACTTTGATGGGGGCCACGACTTATGGCCCAGGGATACAAGGCCTGGCCTTGTCCAAGAAGGAACGGGGCCGCTGCGAATTGGTTTTCTTTCAAACGTTTCTTTGGTTTCAAGCAAGTTGCCAGCTGCGGTCCGGCCCGTTCTATTTGGACCACGCTATTTTCCGGTACCCCTTAGTTGGCGCTTCGGATTGGTGGTTTTGATTTGGATTTACAACTCCGAATCTCCAAACCATCGGGCTCCAAACCGCCAATGAAGGGGAAGCTGAGTTGATTTTTCTAGAGCTTGCTAATCGTGGCTTTGCTGACTCCGGTGAATCCAGTCGAGGTTCCGTGGTGGGTGCATTTGTGGAGTCCCCCATGATTTCCTCCCATTAGGAGTCATTTCTCAATGACGACTCAATGACTACCTTACCAGCATGTTGATCCCATGATAATGACCTTGAGGGTTTCTAAATGCCCCACAAACTCATTCTAGTGATCTGAGCCCTGAGAGGACTAGACGCGCATCCGCACCCCCACCCCCATAGAAAAAGAGCACCAAATGAACGCTTCGTGTTTGAGAGTGGCATAGTACCCTGTTGAGGTTGGTGTAAAGGATTACAAAAAGGATTACCACCAGTTTGGGGGTCCCCCATCTTGAGACACACACACACTCATATGAGTAGCCGTGCGGAAACTTGGCTTTTCGTGGAAACTTCCAACACTAGGGAAAATGGGGGGGGGGCTTCTGGGACGTCTGAAATGACATCATTTTACCTGCACCCTCAAACCCAAACAGAAGTTGCTCAACTATGTGTTCTGCAATACACAATATGCATGAGCAATGCAGTTGGTGGGCAAAGGCTGATGTTAGGGCTACATTTTGTGAGACTGCAAAAGGCCATTGCCTTTCGGGCGTATGAGTGTTCCTCTTCTCCTGAAGCCACATTCCAAACCTGGTGACTTGGGGCTGAAATTGAGCAGGTGCGGCCACACGACTTGTTCACCGGACATGCCTATGTCCATTTGGGAACGAAAGCAGCTGGAACGGGCGCGTCTCAAATGAGTTGAATACTTGAGAGCATGTTCTTCACTTGGGGATCCAATTGTTATTTCAGGCATTGAGATTGTACAACTTGCAGATGACTAGTTTATCACTTTGGGGCAAGGTTAACATACCTTCTGGTTCTTGATGGGATGGTAGGGGAAATGTGGTTGGAACCCTGCGATTTTATAAGGGCTCAAAGGAGACTCCCACTCCTCAGGCAATCATTGTGCTTGGGGGTTTGAATTGGTGGTTCAGGGGTTTGTTTCCCAGATGTCCACCCCCCTTTTGGTGGGAAGACCAAGCTGAAGGAAAGGGGGATACAACAGTTTTTTCGTTTTCATATTTTTGTTGGACAGATCCCTTTGGCTCAGGTTACGCTTAATGGGTGGTTTCTGCAGATGGAAGATGGGAAAGGTACCCCGTAACGTCCAAACCACCCAACCAAACCACCAATTGAGGGTAACGTGATTGGCTCCTGGATTCACGGCGGATTTAGATGCGAAGCCGATCCCGTCTCGCGACAAATGGGCGGCTTTCCATGGCATGAGCAAAGCCAACCGGAGAGAACGTCCCCGAAGCAACATGGTGAACGTGAGCACTCCGCGAAGTTTAACTTTTGTCGCCCAGACCGGGGGAAACCCCAACGCAGAAACTCCAAAACTTCCAAATCAGCCAAGCAAAAAGGGTGTTCTTGGTTTCTCTCCGCCGGAGGTCCGGGTGCACTGATGGTACCTTCCAATTGAAATAGAGGTCCCGAAACTATCGGCGGAAAGGATAAGCACTCCTGATAGGGCTTGGGGTAATATGAGTCAGTCTCAGTCGCAATCTGATTCATGGTACGTAACCGACATGGATTTTTCAGCACCCAGTGTCCCATGGCATCCTCTTGAGTATCGTAGACCGCTTCTTATATGAGCAAGTGACACAATTATGGGCAGTCTACCGTTGGTATGAGGAGGACCTGGGCCCCAGGCCTACCCAAATTTAATTTCAACCACAAAAAAGAGGCCGACCAGGGCAGAATTTTCCCACGCCCTCTTTAGGAAACATTTGTTGCTCTTTTGAGGGACTTGGTAGACTAATGGTCGACGATCGTGAAGCAAACCCTTATAGTACCGCGCAACCTGGAGTCTCCATTACCCTTAAAGAATGGGGTCATTACACAAAGAAAGGGGTCATGGCCGCATTTTGAAGAGCTATTCTTCATGCGTAATGCGCTTTCGGCAGAGTGAGGTCTCCATGGTAAAGAGTCAAAAGGGCTGCCGCGCCTGTTTCTGGTGACTCAACTTTTCATTCCAGCGGCGGCGACATTCACTTAGGTTGTAGCCCTTTGTCAATGGCGAAGAAAGCTAATTTCTTCAAATGGGGTTTGCCTCAGGCTGACCAGTTGCCAGGCTAAGATTGATGATTCCGGCCTGAGAAGCCCTAAGGCTCTCGACTCTTTTGTTTGAGGATGCCTTCTCAAGAGCCTGAGGCAGGCATGTCAATTGCGTCATCCTGGACTTACTTTTGGTGTTTGGAGCGTTTCACGTTTTTGGTAGACACAATGATAAATGTGACACAGAACATGAGCATGTGTTTTGCTGTATACTCCAGATGGCCAAGTGGCCATGATAGAAGTGGAGCTTAGGATCCTTGAGCCTGCAACTGACGACCTAGGCTCCTTCTTTGGGACTCAAACAGGGTGCGAGTTGCTATAAGGGACCCGGAATTGAGGCGGGAGAAACATGTCCAATCACTAGAGATGGTTCAACCAAAATCACAGCCAAAGAGACAGACACAAATATGATCACGGTTGCTTTTTCGGCCTGTGAAGCCAGCCCTATTGGACGCCTTTCTGAGTTTCTTAGGCCTACGGGATTTGACTCAAAGGTTGGACTTTGGGTCCCCGCTTGGAGTCACCTCCGGAGCACTTTGATCTTCCGCCCGGAGCGACAGCTTACCTGGAACACGCATGGCTGCATTGCCAGACTTACCTTTGTGCCATTTTGCCCTGATGCGTGTCCTTAATTTTCTCTCTTTAGATTCAAGCACGGCAAAACTGCGAATGGCTCAATTGAAGACTTGCTGGCTTTACATGGTCACTGCGTGGATAGCTGCTAGTTGAGCTAATACACTTTCGCCCAAACTCGACTTCGCAGGGGTCTCCGAATGGGTGTCTAAAGGAAACCAACCATTTGTTGCTTCCATATCCTATTTGGCCAGACAGGAAACGGTTGGCCCTTTCACCCTGGTTTTCCTTCAGAAACTTCAGAATGGGGGGCTTTGCTTTGAGTGACACCTGGAGTGATAAACCCCTGGTT